AAAAAAAAAAAAAAAGGAAAAAAAAAAAAAAAAAAAAAAACAGTTTCCAAAATTAGAAATTAGGGATATTCTGATCATGCTTCCTTACAAGTAGCTCCATTACGCCATTACTGGCAGTTGAGCTTCCCTCTTGTACTTGAATTTGAATATGAGTAACCATTGAAGCTATGTCATCTTGTATCCCGTTATTGATCTAGTGTTACTCAGATCGTGTGAGAACCAATATTTATTGCCACGTGTACGATCAGGATTGAAGGCTTGAATCACCTTCCTTTATTACCCTTACTCTGCCACGTGTCGAACTGTAACTGGCTTTTACAAAATATGTAGCCAACAATAGTTATATATATGAAACATATTATGTAAAATTCTTTTATGTTGTATATATATATATATATAATTTTTATACAAATTAGTGTTATATATTATGTAAATGTATGATAATTAGTTAGAATATTTTTCAATCTGTCAAAAATCACCCAAACTGCAATTTGTCAATCAACTAATTCGTCAATTTGCCATTCGATTTATAATTTTACTCTTAAACCGTCTGAACCGCACCGTAGACACCCCTAACTAGACAAGAATGATCTCACTTAAGAGTCTCATCTTTATCAAAATAGAGACCCTCATGTACCTAAGACTCTTGTCCTTTGTTCGACAACCTCGAATTCCAATATTATCACATAATATCTCAATATTTCAGCTAATCCATTTGACATCTTGACATCCACCTCGGTCATGTGGAAAATATGTCCCAATAATTACTATTTATAAAATTAATTACAAAACTAAATCAAACTCTCTAAAACGAAAAAGGGTCCCCCAAAAAAACAAAAAAAAAAAAGAAAAAAAACTCACATCATATAAAATGATTTTGTCTCTAATAAGTTTCTTTAATTTTATTTTATCAAAAAAAAATTCTTTAATTTTATGAATTTTTAAATTTCATTGAGAAGTGGTTAATTTTATTGACATATAATCGTACTATAAATATTGAAAGTGACGCTTTAATGGCACAAGTGCAATGTCAAAATCAAGGTCGTGATGGATTGGATAAGCTTGGCAATTTCATTAGTGTGAATATTATTATAGTTTTGCGAAGCCAGGCTGTATGTAGCTTAAGCCGTACGACTATGCAATAAAAACGTGTTTGTGCGACTCTTCCTCAATTAATTTTATTTATTTATTTCGGTACGACTCTTCATTAATACTTTAGTTTTGGTTCAAAAACTTTAGAAATGTCATTGTAATTACTTAATAATGTACGTGTTTGATTTGGCTTTCATTTTTCTTATTTTTGCTGTTAAAAACCCTGAAAATTTATTTGTAATTGAAATTAGGAGGCAACACATGTTTCACCAAGTATTATTTTCGATTAGGAACACGTTATTTTAATAATTTTTTAATTTTTTTATAAAAAAAATATGTAAAAAAATAGAGAGAGTAGTATAACAATAGTGACTTTTTGACTAATATTAGAAGTTGCCAAACGAGGCCAATATTGTTTTTCCTAAGCTTGAGAGAAGTAGTTTTTTTCATTATACACGGGTCCAGTTTTTTACTTATATAAAAATAGAAAATGAAAAAAAAAATTGATACAGAAAAATTATTTAACGAACGGTTTCCAAAAAGTTTTGGGACATACTTTTTTTGTAGAAAATTTTTTTAAAATTTTTTTTATGAATTATTTCTCAAAAAAATTGCCCCAAAATAAAACTCATATTAAAATCATGGGTGTTGTTAAACTTTTTATTGTTTTATGTTTTTGAAAAAACACACACAAAAAAAAAATGAAACATGACTCAAACTCGAAACAATATTGTTGATTAAAGTCAAGTTTGGCTAACTTAAAAAAGTGTACTTATTTCATCTTTTTATTTTTTTTGGGTTATATCAATCAACATCTCCTCTCTACTTTTTCTACACATAATACAAAAAAAGTCAAAAAGTGCACTTATTTAGTCTTTCCAAACTAGGCCTTAGCCTTAATTTGTATAATGGAGTAATAATGTTATAATATATATTAATATACTAATTAATATACCAATTAATATATGCAACACAACCATTGCATTTTAAGAAGTTGTTTGGGTGCATAAAAAGGTGCATTTTTTTATATTTTTATGTCATATTATATTTTTATTTTTTTATTGTTTTTTTAAAAGTTAAAAAACATATTTGTTTAGATTATTCTAAATAATCTCTAAATATTATAAATTTTTTTAATAGAGTTGTACTAATTTTATAATTTAAAACTAATGAGTATGTTTGACTTCAGTTTTTAAAATTTAATTTTGTGAAAATTAAGATTTTTATTTTTCATATTTTTTTATTTTTAGTGAATATTTTTAAAATTTGAAGTATTTTTTTTTAATTTTTTTTAGATGCACATTACTTAGATATATCTAAAAAGTAAAATATTTGTAAAAAAATATTTTAAAAAATTAATAAATACATAAAAATACTTAAAATATACTGAATTTTCAAAATTTTGTTTATATTTTTGGTATTTAGTGAATTTTTTAAAGATTTTTTCACAAAAATTATACTTTTTAAGTGTATTTATGTTAGGTGTATCTAAAAATTAAAAAAAAAATTGCTTAAAATGTTAAAAAAATCAATAAAAACAAAAAACAATAAAGAAGAATTTTCCGAAAAGTAAATTCTAAAAATTAAAATCAAACAAAGTGAATAGTATTTACCTTGTTTAGTTCTAATTTTTTAAAAATTGAATTTTTATTTTTAGTGAATTTTTTTAATATTTTAAACAATTTTTTTACTTTTTAGATGTACCTTAATTTTTAAAAAATTAAATTCAGAAAAATGGAACCATATTAAACCAAACAAGATTATTTTTTTTATAATGTTACATGTTTTATATTTAAATATTTTTGACCATAATATGTGTAACGCCATTATAAAAATACCTAATATTGCAATAAAAATATATTTAATATGTTTTATAAAAAAAATGATTTATCCATTAATTTTTTCCCCATCCAAATCTCCTTAAATGATGTGCCAACTGTATGGTCTAATAGCCATTGATATATTTGAAGAGACACTGGGTATGTTTGGTTTGGTTTTGGGAGAATAGTTTATCTTTTTACTTTTTGAGTTATAATCATAAATTAAAAAAAAAAAACATAACAAAATATCATATGAAATGTAATCAAATATTTCATGAGTCATAATTATAATACTATCATAATTAAAAAGTAATAATCATACCTAAAACACAAAATAACATAACTAAGATGAGATGATCTAAATTTTCATTAAAAAAAATTCAATTTTTATTTACTTAATGAGGTGATCTAAATTTTTAAATAATAAACAAAACAATAAATCGATCAACATAAATTCTTAGAATACCTCCCATTCTATACCAATTTTTTTAATCTAATTTGATTTTAAATTTGAATAAAAAAAATTGATTTGATATGAATTATTTAGAATAGCTCATATCAAACTATTTCAATGCCTTCATCAATTTTTTATAAAAATCTTTTTAAAAATTTTCCTCTTATCCAAAATTTTTCTTTTCATCAAATTTTATGAAAGAAATCATCTAATATTATTCATCTTTCTAAAATTTCATCAAATTTAAATTTTAAACATTTTTGCATCAAATTTAAATTTAATGAAAGAAAATATAAAGGATTAGAGATGCTCTTATAAGATAAACATTTAGGAGTGTTCAAGTCTCATTCAAATCGA